CCCCACCCAGGTGGGTCAGACATCCTGTTCCACTCAGGTTTGGGTGGAGATAAATTCTTTAAATAAATTATCCAAATCCGGGGGTAAATGAAGAAGTAAATGACATAATCAAAGTCCAGGTCCAGCCCTTCATTGTCATATTCATTCTCTCATTAATTGTTAACCAATCAAAGTTAATTGCTTCCCTCAGGAATACCTACTCTTCTAATGGCCTGCTGCCATGGCTGGTCTAAGAAAGAGATACCAAATGCAGGCATTATTAATAAAATTATCAAACTACCCAGAAATTATGTCTCTTGAACCTTTTACAAAAGTACAAACCCAACCTTCTATTAGTGGTTACAAAATATTATCATTACAGTTTTAAAATATTAAAAAACCTTAATAACATGACACAAATAATAGGTTTAATTTCCACCAGGAAAAGAGAAGGCTCATTCCCTTACAGCCAAAATATAAGCTTATTTAATTTGATTTTATCCTTAATGGATAAAGAGAAGAGTTAAGATTTGCCTTTTATATGACCAATCAATTCTTGTGTTTTCTGACACCAGTATTTATTAAATCACCCATATGATTTCTTGTGTAGGATGAATAAGAACAGTGAATTTGATCTTTCCTCCACAGGTTTATTTTTTAATATTCTTTGTGACTTTCTTTTGATCTTCACACTCTTTTTTTCCTCTGGATTTTGTTGTCTAGCTATGGTGCCCATGAATAAAAATAATATATTAGCAAAGGGATTTCCACAGATGAGAAAATGAGAAATAACTCAAAAGTCTAACATTTATGATCGCATTTAGTCATTCCAGCACTCTGATTATTTTTAATACAGTACATTTGCCAATTATGAACATTAAATTTTGTTTAGTCCTTGCAAGTCCTTTTTAATTTTATAATTTTGGTACTGTTTCTTTTTCCAGGATATACATATATGTTGACTCGCACTTGACTCTTACTTCATTCCAGTTATTTCAATACAACTTTAGACCAAATGATGGAAATCTAAGTATCCCAGCTTTATAATTTTGGGGATATAGATATATATGTATACATCTAAATATGTGTATATATATGTATGCATGTATATGCACATAATACATATATGTTCGTGTGTTTGTATGTGTGTGTATTGACACACACATACAACACACACACATAGCTTTACGCCTCAGACTAATACAACTCATAGATCTGTTGAGATCACAGATTCTGAATGATTACCAAAGTACGCTAACTTTTATTTTAGACTGCAGCCAAAGACAGTGGCGTTTAACAGAGTGGTATTACAGTGACACAAGTTCAGGTGGTATGAATTATACCAGTGTGTCATTTTGAAGACTCATGACCCAAGTAATAAAATGTGGTAATTGAAGTTAAAAAAAAAGAAAGGCAAGGCTATGGGGGTGATGTGCCAGTGACTTGAAGATATACACTTTCTAAGATAGAAATGAATTAAGATATAAAATTATACCGGACATGAACTGAGAGGCTATGACAAATAGTGGCTTGGCAATAAAGGGTGTATGTATGGAGTGTGAAGGTAAGTCCTAGGACTCTTCCCAACTCCTCCTTAGCCTGTTTCTACTTAAGGTCCCATTTTCATCTGTATGAGACCCTAAGGTAGAAATTCCAACTGTACTAAAACACGCATTTAGATAGGCTCCTCATAAATAAAACCATCTCCTCCATTCATAAGCAAGTGAATAAATGAATAAATGTTGCTTCAGAATGGTTAATGATCCATTATTGAAAACCACAATTTATTTTGTCATAGGAATTGTATTGTACAAAGTAAAAATGCTAAATATTAAATGTACTGATAAAAATTATGTTTCATTGAATCTGTGGCACAAAAATTTCCACAAAACTGAGAAAACGTTGACAATTCCTTGTTATACTCTTAAAGTTCAACTTTCAAATTCAATAATTTTTGGAAGACTCTTCAGTAGTCTTTGGAAAAGCATTCTTTTTTTCCCCTGGACAAATAACACTATTTTAAATAATTAACATGTACATAAACTGAATCAATATATATTAATAGTGATTAATTACTAAGTTTTGTAGTGAGGCTGCAATTAATCATGAACAAAGAGCCAATGCACTATGAAAGCTTAAGAATGTACAAAATCCATCAAATGCAATCACTAAGTGCTTTGTCTAATGAGGAAATCAGATTTATCACACACACACACACACACACACATATCTGCATATTTATATATACATACATAATTAAATTCAGCCAGCAATAGAAAGATCTTCAAGTTACTCATTACCTAGAATCTCATGGGATTCTCAAGATCCTAATGATAAAAATGTCTATCCAGTAAGAATTTTTTATTTGTTTCCAGAATATATATGACCCAGTGGTTTGTGTCGTAAAGACCAGTAAAGCTGCTATGCTATCTGCATATTTGGAAATTTTTGTATTTTATATGATTTTTCCCCCCAAAAAAACCTTAATTATAGAATAGGTAATTTACTTCCATTCCCCTTATTTAGCTATTCTTTCTTAATTCACATATTGCAATTTTGCTCTAAAATTCTCAGGTTCATAAAAACAATAAAGAAAAGTTATCTCCCAATCATGTATATTCACTTTAATGGTGTAATTGCTATAAAAAAGTGATGAATGTTATTTCCCCTAATCCCTAGTGGATTAAGTAAGTTTATTTAGTTTTGTGTGTTAATTTTATATACTTTGCCTCAAGCTCCAAAGGGGTCCTGGTAGAGATTTCAGGGGATCCATGAACATGGATGTGAAAAAAATGCATCTTTATTATCATTAACTTCCAATTGAATTTTTGTATTTTCTTCAATTATGAATGCAAACAACAAACACTATTTTGAGAAGGGTTCTATTGTGTTTCACCAGATTTTCAAAGAACTTCATGACACAAGAAAAGCTAAAGAATGTAAAGAATCTTCTACCAGACTTAAGTTTTTCTGGAATATTTGATTCTCATAAAGCATGCACAACAAGACATATTTAGCCCAATCTTTTTTTTAAAGTATTATTACATTGTGAACTATAGAAATAGAGTGTCAAAAAGTATCTGCATAATTTTTCAATGCAAAAATGATTTTTATTTTGTGCAACTAAATAAAATATGTGATTTTAAAGCATTAGTGATATTCCCAAAAAAAATAAAAGAGGAAAAGAAAAAGAATTAACCAAAGAAAATACAAAATTAGTATTGAAAACTTTCTGGAAGCTTTTTTACTTTCCTAAAACTATATTGATATAAATCATATTGCTATTTCATTTTGGATTTTAAAAGTTTACACTCAAGGAAAACTATAGAATAAAACTTGGAGAAGTTAGTGATACCTTAATATAATTTTAAGAAAAAATCTCCCTCTTCCTTTTAAAAGATGGTTCAAAATTTAAGTGACAAAAATGTACACTTTGTGTTTTTATGATATAATCTACCTTAACCCTTGGTTAAATAAAAACTGTATAATGGGAAACATTTGCATAATGTCCATATATTTTAAATATGTGTAACTGAGAAGATGTTATAAGGGAGAAACTACTGCAATTTCTCTGGCAAAAAGATAAAAATATGATGACATATTTATTGCTATATTTATGTTTTGATTCTATTGACTTGATAAAGAGCATCAAACTACAATTTGAACTTTTAAAAAAAAGTTATCATTGTTCCCACTGATTTATTTACAAACTCTTAGCATTCCTTACTTCTCCAGTCATAAAACTAACACCAGAAGTTGATTTCTCTATAGTCCAACTTGCAAAAGAAGCTCCATGAAGCATCATGAAGCATTAAGGACTAAAGTCTTTCAGCTCATGTACTATACACATAAACTAGACATGGGATATTACACCACAATAATAGGTAAGTTCTCTAAACATTTAAAATCAGAAGTATTAATGGGTTTAATTTTCTCTCTGTCCAAGGGAGTGGAACAATCCAAAGGGTTTTGTTTTCAAACTTCCTCTTTTTGTGACTTGGTACTTGGTTAGCAACTAAGCATGCCTATTTCTAATACTCCAGATTAATATTTGTCATAGCTGAAGGCTATCTTGGTCTTAGCTAGCACCAGGATTCAGGAATAACTTTGAGCAGAAAGGGAAAGGGACAAGGATAAAGTAATTTGGGAATTGAATATAACAATAATATGCCTACAAATATATTTAAAAGAGGTTGCTCTCTGAGGTCAATGACATATTTCAAAAGTTTGGTTTCAAGAGTAGTTAAGAAATAAAGGGCAAAGTTTCATTGCAAATGCATTTATCCTCATTTTCTTTGCCTATGAAGTTCATGTTAGGTCCTAAATTTGGCAATCACCTCTCAAATAAAACCTCCTTTTTTCAATTACAAGTGTGTCCATTAATGACCAAAGAAGAAATCTGTCACTTTGTAAAGGCCTATAAGTGTTGACAATACTTTCTCTGATGTTTTTCTTCCTTAATAACATGACATTCACAAATATTATCTCATTGCAGCTCTTTCCAGTTTCAATTCTTTTGTAGAAATACCCTCTCCCTGTTTACCCTCTAGCCCCTCTCAAATAGAGTTGCAAATCAAGGCATTGAAATTCCAGATAACTAAGTAATAAAACTGGACTGTACCATTCAATGAGTTTAATTTTGCTACAATATTTGCATAGCAGCAGAGGCAGATGTTCCTGAACCTGAGACAACCAGTGGTAACCTAGATCAAAGTTGCAAAAAACCTAGCACAAGCATAGGAACCATATACCTGAAGGTTATATGGTTTGCCAAATCAATAACTAAAAATATCTGACAAAAGAACAGGCATCATCCAACATCACTTACAAGCAAACATTTAATAACAATACAATTGGGTGACAAGATGAAACCTAAAAAATCGGATCATTATCTGGAAAGTTTAGGCCCCTGAAAGGCTAAATAGGGAAAACAAACAAACAAACAAACAAAAACTGAAGACACCCTGTTGTTGTTATGGAAACTTGAGGATGTTCTGGTTGCCCCAAGGAAGTTACTGTACCTGTGTCCACATCCTTCACCTGTTGCCTGGCCGGAGTCCACAGACTCAACTTTCATCTCTTGAAGGACCAAGGTCTTTTCATGTTCTCCAGTAAACTCCATGCCTGGCACCACCTCTTCCTCCAGGGACTCCACATAAAAGACTGTCCGGGGAGGATGTTGCTGACTCTGACCAGGTAATCCTTGATGCAGTCTGGTGGCCGCGGAGGCCGGAGTGCCATTGAGTGGGTTGGAGGAAGAGGAGGAGGAGGAGGAAGAGGAGGAGGAGGAGAAGGAAGAGGAGGAGGAAGAAGAAGAGGACGACGAAGAGGATGACTTTTTCCAGAAGGTGCTCCCGCTGCCCCTCTCCTGGTTTTTCAGCAGACGGCTCTGGCTTGGCCCCCAGTGCTCAAAGCTGCCACTGCTGTCCTGCTGGAGACAGCTGCCCCCCGCCGGCCCGCCTGGGGAAGAAGAAGGGTGGCTGAAGAGTTTCCAGCGGAGTCTCAAGATGTGTTTCACATCAAAGTCTTTCCTCCCGGAGCCTGACATGCTTTCCAGAGGGAAGAGAGAAGTGGAGAGAACCGACCGCAGCCAAGGCAAGGAAGGACGGGTAAGGGCGAGTGTCTGGGCAGTATAGGGTAAAAGCAAGCAAGAGGAAGAAGACAGAGTCTGTTCCTATACGCTCCCCTTCGGACACGGACCGCGAGTGAATGCCACGGCCGGGCTGAGTGTCCAGCCACTGACTATGAACTGCCTCCTGCCGAAAGGACCGCGTACCGCGGGATCGCGGCTCTACAGCTGTTTCTTCCCGAAGAGGACCCCTCAGCCCGTTTGAGCTGGGGATCCAGACAGAAGCCCAGGTCTGGAGAGAGAAGAGAGATTTCAGGAATCCCTCGCAAAATCCGCGAGGTGCAAGGGAGGAGAGGGAAGTGGGGTAAGAGAAGAGGGCAACGGAGGCGGCTCCGGGAGAGATGCGCTCAGAGAGCCAAGAGGGAGAGGGGAGGTCTGTGCGCGCACCCGCACGCACAGTTGGAAGCGCAGGCTGGCAGCGGACAGCAGCGAGATAACCCTTAATCAAAGGCACTGAAGCAACAGAGCCCCAGCTCGGACGCGATCGGCCGCCTCCTCCTAAACCAGTGGGGACCCCAGTTCCTCTCGCAGTCAGCGCCCCAGAGTTCAGAGCCTGGGAGAGCGCCGAGAGCGAGCGAAAAGTCGTCTGAGCGCTCTGCCTCCCGCCATAAAGCGTGCGCCGGTTCTTCCTCCGCTGGCTCTCAGGGGAGTCCCATGCTTGCAGGTTATCTGTGCTAGCCGAGAGATGGCTAACAAGATAGAACGACAGCTCTTTATAGTCAGCTTCCTCTGCGTCACCCCCCTCCCTAATTAGAGAAAGAGAAAGAAGAAAAGATAAAGAAAAAGAGAGAAGGTGGGGGGGCGCTTATGAAGCTTCTAAGGTCCTCACAGTACAATTTTCTATCAGCCTCTGAGTCTCCCCCTCCCCCGTAAGTGACGCAGATGTGCACTGGGGCCTATACAGAGAGGCAGAGGGAGGGAGGGAAGGCTTCAATCTTCTTTATGCAAGTAAGTCTGCAGGTCTGATTGTCCCCTGCTGTGGGTCTTGTCACCCTTTGTATTCTTCCCCCCTTCCTTAACGACATTGCCACCAGGGCAATAAAAGTAAAACAAACAGAGGCGTTATGCTTTGGCATCAGGGACCTACCAAAGCATGAATCTTAGCAGCCTAAACTTAATAGACTGGGATCAGTGCGCAGGTTGCAGGTTAATGACTTACAGTATCTAGAGAGCGGTACTCATTAGCTTCTTGCCTTGGTCTTCGGGCAATAGGAATAAATGCCAGACTGAGAGGCGCTGAGTGTCAGAGGAGAGCGATGCCACCCGCCTGCCTCCTACCTTCTGATCCTTCCATTAATACACACACAGACAGTGCTGCACCCTTGGGAGGTGAAGTCACAACACAGAAATTGGCTGATGGACAGCTGCCCACATGGGAGGAGTTGTGCAAAACAGTGCATTTGGGATCTAGGCACAGAATGAAAGCTTTTTCTGAGGAAAACTAAACGGAATACAATGGCAAAAGTATAATGAAAAGTATTCATTTTCAACGCAAAAAAAAATCATCTGAAAACAATTCATGGGATGCTGTAGGCAGCAAAAAAAATAAAATCGGTATTCATTGCCTCTTTACCTCACGAATCAGTTTGGAGAAGAAAATGTATCTTTTTCTTCATAAAAATATTGGGAGAGGTCACTCCTCTCTAGATAATACTACTCTTGCTGGCTTTGCCTTTGGCTTTAGTGTGCTCACAGAATTCTTTCCTGTTAACCCTTGGATAAGGCCTTGGTTAAGGCCAGTGGAACGAAGGAACAGTGAATTTTCCAACAAAGACACTCTTCCCCATTCATGAAAATTTCATGGCTCAGCCTCTCCCAAGGGAGGCCAGGTGTCAAACATTAAAGAAGTACTTCATTACTAGTGAGTCATTTTATGATTAAATAGTTGATCTAGTCATAAACTCACTAAAGAATATGATGTCTGGCCTAGACAAAGTTGGACATTTTAATAAAATAGGAAATTCAGCCCACAAAGCTCAGCTTTCAAGGGAAGAAAAAAATCACCATTGGACATATTGATTTATGCCACAACAGCTGGACTACATAGTCCCTTGTGCCTTGATTGTTCTCTCAGTATTTGGTGATTAAGAAAAAGACAAAAAGTCCTTCAAAGTAAATACTAGTGACAGATAATGTTCTTCCAAGAGTTGGATCAAGTAATATTTTACTTTACGACAAATGTAGCTCTTTTAACTTTGGAAAGTTAAGTTGAACATCATTGTTTATTTGTTGAGAAATTTGGTGTTGTCTAGGCTTTTTAAAATTTTCCTAAAAATCCTGATTGATGATTTTTGAAACTATAAAACCACGAAATTGCATTTTGTTTGTATTAACATCTTAATACATTTGAATTTGCCAAATGACAAATCATCCCCTCAAGAGCATAGATATACATACAACAAAACAATACAAAAATAGCAATTAATTTATCACACTCATGTCTTTCCTGGTTGTTATTCTCTGACACCAGTATTATAAAGGAATTCCCCTGGATTACTATTATATGTGCTATAATCTTTCCACTCATACAACACAAAGCAAACAAACAAACAAAAAACCGAGCCAAGATTTGCTTTATCTACATGGGGGAAAATGACAAGCATTTGACAGTTGGTAATTAATGTCTACTTGGCTATTGCTGGGCAATTAATTTTTTTGAAGTATTGCCAGTATCCTTTAGCCCAGTATTTTTAGCTATATACAGAAGTAATGATAAAAAAAAGTCTAGCTAAGAAAACTAGCCATGTTGACAAGTAGTTTATTAAGTTAAAACTCATTAAAATCATGAAAAGCAATGGATTTGGGCTTTAATCAATAAATTCCTGAAATGTGTGAATGAAATTAGAATTACTCAAAGGAAAAGACTGTTCCCTGAGGAACTAACAAATTATGTATTCTGCTGACATTTAAGTAAGTCTTAAGAAATTATCTAATATAGTATAAAGGGGGATGGGGAAATAATGGTTTCTTATTATAACCTGACCTTGCATTACTTAGATTTCTTTGGAGGAAGTTATATCAGGTGAAATTTGTCTATCAAATAATATTTTGTCATTCACTTCCACTGACACATAAGAAATTCAGGGCCAAAGGAAAAAAACAAAAGTAACTATTCCAATAGTTACACATAAATATATCACCTAAGCACACTCACATTTGCTTCAAAGTATTTTTTTTTCTGGATCCCTATTTAGTACCAGTCAAAATGATTCCTTGGTTGGAATGACTGGTCACTCTGAGCTCTCTAAGAAATGTCCAAGTGAACACAGTCTACAACCATCATTTCCTTTGACAATTTTAAGAAAAAAATGAGTTAAATGTGCAAGGAATCCTCATAATTATTTAATATTCAAAATATGTACACTAATAAGAACATTACCATAACATCTACTATGTGCTAGGAACTATATTAAGTGCTTTACAAATATTCTCTTAATCCTCACAACAAGCCTGTGAAGTAGGTGCTATTATTATAACTCCTGTTTTAAAATTAAGAAAACTGATGCAAATATGTTATGACTTGCCTAAAGCACCAAACTAGTAAGTGTCTGAGGTTACATTTGAACTCACATATTCCTTATTGTAGGCCCACCATTATCTACTGTGCTGCCTAGCTGCCTAACATAAATAAAGATATACTGTAGCATTCATTCCAGTTTTAATAAAAGGTCCTACCAAACTATAAATGTACATACAGATTCCAACTGTTTTTTCTTTTTTTAATTAATAAATTTATTTATTTTTATTTTTCATCATTTACTTCCACAAGATTTTGAGTTCCAAATTTTCACCCCATCTTGCTCCTCCCCCCACCCCAAGATGGCATGCAATCTGAATACCCCTTCCCCTAGTCTGCTTTTCCTGCTATCTCTCCCCACCTTCCCCTTCTTTTTTCCTGTAGGGCAGTATAGATTTCTGTACCCCATTTCCTGTATTTCTTATTTCCCAGTTGCATGTGAAAACATTTTTTTAAACATGTGTTTTTAAAACTTTGGGTTCCAAATTTTCTCCCTTCCTCCCTCCCCACCCACTCTCATTGAAAAGGCAAGTAACTCAATATAGGCTATACATGTGCAGTTATGCAAAACACTTCCATAGTAGACATGCTGTGAAAAACTAACTCTGTTTCCCTTAATCCTATCCCACCCACCCATTTATTCTATTCTTTCTTTTGACCCTGTCCCTCCTCAGAAGTATTTGCTTCTGATTACCCCCTTTCTCAATCTGCCCTCCTCTCTTGTCCCCTTCCCCTCCTGCTTTCCTGTAGGGTAAGACAGATTTCCATACTCAATTGAGTGTATATATTATTCCCTCCTTAAGTCAAATCCTATGAGAATAAGATTCACTCATTCCCTCTCACCTTCCCCCATTTCCCCTCCACTGTGAGAGCCTTTACTTTTCTGTTTTTTTGTGAGATAATTTACCCCATTCCACCTTTCTCTTTCTCCTGCTCCTAGTATAATCCTCTCTCACCCCTTAATTTTATTCTCCAGATATGACCCCTTCATCTTCAACTCACCCTGTGCCCTCTATCTATCTATCTATCTATCTATCTATCTATCTATCTATCTATCT